TGAAGAGGAGCAGGCGCAAGTNTTCGGGGGCTGGCTGCCGGAGGAGGTGGCCGTGCGCGTCTTCCGCTGGCTCGCACCCGACGACCTCGCCCGAGCCGAGCTCGTGTGCCGCCAGTGGCACAGCCTCGTGAGCTTGTCGCCCGCCTCGTCTTCCCTCACCCCCTGGCTCTGGCGCAAGGTACCTCACTCACCCACCTTCGCGCCCCATCCTCCCACAGCGCGCGCTGCTTGCGCTGACTAGCAGCGTGTGGGGGGGCGAGCCGAGCAGGTGCACGAGCGGCACTTTGGCGGGCCGGTGCCGACCAAGGACAAGGAGAAGAGCTTCGACCAGCGCACTTTCTGCCTTCACTCCGCGCGTCTCCTCCACAAGTGCGGCCTCCTCAGCACGCGTGCTCACGTGTGCGTGTGCCGTAGGCTTGTTTGTTACTGACCGCACACGCACACCGCACTCACATCACCGCACAATCGCACACACGCACGACCGCACGGGGCACAGATATCAGAGGCCAGCAAACGTGGATGCGATGCTGATGTGGGCCATCAGTTGCGGGCACCACGCAGCACTGGCCCACATTCTGGCCACCAGCGCGCCTTGCCAGAGAAGCGCGACGCCTTCTTGGTGGGCGCCCTCGGCTCCGGCGACGAGCGCATTATGGAGCTGATGTGCGCCCACGGCGCGCCCGTGCCGCCCCGCATGGTCATCGCGGCCGTGCGCCGGGGCTCTCTGGGTACCGTGAGCGTGCTGCTGCGCTTCGTGGTGCCTACACAGCAGACCGAATCCGATGACGGTGCACAGCCGCCGGCGGCGATTACCACCCCGCTCGACCCGCTCGAGGCCCTGCTCCAGGGAAGCGGCACCAGCGCCGAGACCCTGTGGCACCGGGCCGGTACCCGCTCTCTTCTTTCCCTCCTTTGTCATCGCTATCGGTGACTCTCTCTTTCTCTCTCTCTCTCGATTTGGTGTGAGTGTGTGTGTGTGTGTGTGTTGAATAGCGGAGGGAGGCCACGTCTCGCTGATGGCGCGCTTGGCCAAGATCCACCAAGAGCACAGCCAGGAGAGGTATCGTCAGTTGCTGCTCTCTTATGGTCCACGCGGCTACACCGGTAAACAAACAACCTCTCTCCAGCTATTCAACCGATGAGGAAGTGGTTGCAAATAACGAACCACCACATGTCATACATAATGTTGAATCGAGCAGCGTTGCAGGTCGCGTGCTGCCAGAACAACCGGCGAGTGTTCGACTTCCTTGTTGCGGGTCACATGTGCGACGAGCTGCTGAATGCACCCACACATTACCGGCCCATCATGTCGGCGCTGCTGCTGGCGGTGAAGCACGCCGGTGTGGATACCACCAGGCGATTGCTGGAGTTGGGCGCGCAAGAGAGCAAAGCCGGTCTGAACTTTTCGCCCCTGCATGTCGCGTGCAATGTGTGCTCCCCGTCACGGCGGTCACCACACGACACACAACACACGCACACGCACACGCAAGGCACTCAGCGCACTACCGTAGGCACGCACGCACGCACACACAACACGGCGCATGTA